TTGATTGAATATAGATAATAATGGGACTACAGAAAGCTAATAATTTCATATATTTTTTTTTAACACGTTAATTTCAAAATTAAAAACTTGATATCACAAAAATTTGTAAAAATTATATTTAATATTACATTATATTAATTTGTTGATATAAAATTACTTTGAAATAATATGTACACGTGGAATTAAAAACAATTGTTAATTTTATTAATAAAATATGTACTGCGAGCTAATAATTTGTTTAAATTTTTAATAGATTGACCAAAAGACTCTTTTATATTCATCAAATAACGTTGAAAACGTAATTTCAATAAAATAGAAACAAAATTGCTTTAGGGTTTCGGTACACGGTTTTTTTTTTCATTTAGAGAGAGAAATTGTTTAATCTCCCTTTTCAAAGAATTTCGGTTTTCTTCGATGAATACAGCTTGATAGAAAAATAATCGATCGCATCAGCCTAATAATTTAACGACATTACCGATATGGATTAACCGTTCACAGAAGAGCGTACATGAATAAACGAGCAACGCACGAGCATGGAATGCAAATAAAATATCCGATTCACGTTCAGTCTGATTCGTTCGTGAAGTGATACGTCAAAGAAAGTTTCAAATAAATTTAATTTCGCGCTTGGTGTTCACTCTCTCGTTGCTCTCTCGTTAGTTCCACACGTACGTATCCCGCCTTAATATCCCGCACACTACAATACGATCTTAATGCCCATAGAATTAGTGTATACATGTTTGGTCAGCGGTTTACCCTTCTCGCTCACCGTTCTCTCTCATGAGAAAGATCAACACAAGACGCTCCAATATACATAGATCCAGCGCGGAATTGATTTGTTCTCTCCCTTCGAGGCAGTTACTTTTCTTAATTAAGGAACAATATCGAACGTAGGTAGTCTCAGCGTTATTATTCAGTTCCTCGCGTTCGCGGTTTTTCATTCGACGCATTCGAGCGGGTTCAATCGTGTGGAAGAAGGGATCGAAAGGAAAGTCCGGGGGCCGTTCACATGGATCCGCCTCCGCCAACTCTGCTATCAAGGACAGAGGGAGATATATGAAGAAGAGAGGGGGAGAGAAGGAGGGGGAGAGAGGGG